CTAAACCCTAAACCCTAGGATTATGAACATCCCATGGTCAGCAAACCCCAACCCCGAAGCATTCATTCACAGGTGTTGTCCTGGACAATCGCGAGAACCACTGTTGTGCCCGCATCAAAGAAGGATTGCATGGAAAGGCTTTCAGAATTAGAATAGGGCTTTGGGGTCTAAACCCTCAACCCTAAGCCTGGAATTGTAACTTCAGTGCCTCATCTTCTAAACACTCCAAAAAAAGGATCACCAGGATCATCCCGAACTACTGCACATGTTCTCTGGGGGGCAGGGGTCGTTATTCCTTCATGTTTATTCCAGTCTCCAGGAAGCCCGTCCTCTCTTGCTTGGCCTTTGAAGGATTTGCTGGCTCACACCCAAAATCAAAAAATGTCATGCGGCCTGAGTACCGCGAGACACAACCCCAAAGCACTGATTTTTCTGGTGCTGGCAACATCAGGCAGCATCCCGGGAAGCCTCGACAGCTCCAGGTTTTTGCAAGCCGTGTTTGAAGCAGAATCTTCGCAGAAGCACGGCCTAGCTGCCCTAGCTCAAGCGGAAGATGAGGTCAATAGTCATCTCCCTTGCGAAATACACTGGATTCCAGACATCATGCATGCTGTTCCGGCCGCGGCCATCGACGCTCACAACATACTTCTCTGCCAGCGAATAACGACTTTTAGAAGTCATGAGCTGGATAAGCCTCTGTGCTTTTTCCTGTTTACGGCACCAGAACTTCCACGAGTCTGCAGGTGACCATCCATCCCTTGTCAAAATGCAAGACTCAATGTGCGACTCTACTTGGATTAAGCCAACCCGATACTTGTCAAAGGGAAATGCTTCGAGTATCTCCAACTCGCTGCCTTCCGTATCCACGGTCCTGAACCAGAGTTGGGATAGACGTATTAGAAAAGTACATGTTTTCTTCCTGGTTGGTCTTTAGCAACCATAAAAAATGTCTGAAGATTTTCTTCAACCACGACCAGGGTCATGTAATCAACTTCCTGAAGCTTCGCCATGTCAAGCAGTTCCTGAAGAGTGTGGCATTTGAGCGGGGTGATACTTGTAATGTTGAACCACATACGTCCCTGCTTCATGTCTTCAAGGACGGCTGGGTCGTAGGTGTCCTCGAATCCTGAAAGCCCAGGCCACGGCGCATCAACAAAATTTCTTAATCCTGACTTTCCACATACAGCGCCTTGCAATGCAAAACTCTTGGGTCGGTTCTGTGCTAGCTCACTCTGGAAGTGAATAGATGGCTCTGCAAGTGCCCCATGCCAGCCAAGGGTAGTTTCGAAGAAGTTTGTGTTCGAGTGGTAAGTGCCGTCCAAGGCCCCAAACTCCACAAACGTTCCCGTAGGCGGCGCCGCCTTTGTGTGTGAAAAGAAATTTTTGAGAATCCATAAGTCTTGACCGGACTGTGCCACAACCGCTGGATGTCGGAAGATGCCAGGCGGGAGAAACTGTGTGCCAACCAGATGCAAGCCACGAAGGGCTGCAAACCATGATGCGCACCTGGGCACATTTCAGGGCAGGGCCCCGGCCGAAGGAACCACCAGGGCAAAGTTTACATGGCTTTCAACTTTCCGACAAAGCAAGAAACAAAGAAAGAAAGAAGCTGTACTATAGTTCACTGAGACGCTCACTCTGAAGATCCGTGCCTGTGTTCTTGGCCATGCCGTCTAGAACATGGACGCTCAAGACTTGGCGCTCCGAAGCAGCTGTTGGAGTCCACTCCACAGAGAAGAAGCCGGGATCAATTAAGTAAGGCCTATTCCCTGCCTTACTTCTCCAATAACCATGGAAGAACAAAAAGCTAAACTACATTATTCCTACTAAATAGGAGAAACCAAAAAACTCAAAGTTCATGTATTGGCTAAGTAAGCTGCACTAAGTAGGTGGCCACCCCACCAGACATCGTCATGAGTCCGGCACCCAAGGGGGGCCTCGCTAAAGTTGAAGACATGGTCTCCAACCATGAACCTCTTGAAAAGAACACCAGCGAAGCCTCCACACCAGCCGTGCACAGTGCCTTCTTCCCCACGGTCCATGGTCCGCTTCTTCAAACTCCGGTACCCATCAGCCCAGGCCTGACACACAAAAAAACATACAGCTCTCTAAGTACGTAAGAATTGCTCTAAGTCATGGGTGCCCATTTTTTGGGGGCCCTAATATAATCATATTACTACCGTCCTTATTACAGAGGGTCCCCTCTGACTTAGAGAACTATCCCCCATATTCTCTACGGTACCCTTTGGCCACTGTCCCGACCATTTCCCCAAGGACAGGCTTAGACCTGCTTGGGTTCAGGAAAAGGGCCGGGGTTGAACAGGCAAGCACTCACACCCTAACCTTGGAGAGGTGGAAGGTATCATTAGGAGGTCTTGGGGAATAATTATGTACCTAGCCCCCCGGACCCCATCCCCTTAAGGGAAAATTAGGGAACCCACGTAATCTGTAGTAATCTATAGCGTACTATAACAATCTAGAGCAGAGTGAGATGTATGGTACTTACACTATACCACTATGCCAAGTTCGTCTTCTTTTTGTCAAGGCCTCACAGAAGTAAGTCATCCCCCCAAGAAAAAAAAGAAGCGCCTCCTCGCACCAAAAGGCTGGGGAGACGTTCCAAGGTAGGTACGTTGCAGCGAGAACAAGGGCCAAAAGCGTGTCTTTGTGGTACTTTGTATCGTCGTCCACTGTGATGAGCCAGGTCTTGGGGTCCTTCTCCACTTGCCTCAGGGCTCTGGAGCCCCAGTAGAGATTATCATTTTCAGCTCCTTACAAGGATTATATCTAACAGAAAGTAAAGAATATTGTCCAATCCAGGGTAGTTGCAGAGCTGCCAGGAGCTTGGTGGCGGGGCCCCAGTCATCACTTATTTGCTTCACGGCGATGATGTTGCTGATACCCTTGATCTCCTCCCAGAAAGTAGAGTCACCTGCTACTCCATCACCAGCTACTTGGCTCCCGCGGCCTTTGATCGAAGATTTGGTGAAAGGATTCCTCAGCTCGCGGTTAACGGCTAGCAAGGCAGAAAGCCCCGCACTCAACTGCCACGGAAGCTGAAAACCACATGAGCTACAGTCTAAACTCCTTATATCCCCCTTAATTACCCCCATAGTGGTCCCCTATATAATCTCCTTTACTATGGCTCACATGACTACACCAAAGCACAAGCAAAAGCGAAGTGGTCGAGTTCTCTGAGCAGACTCTGAAACCAAAGGCAAAGATCATGGAAACAAGCCTAGTTTGGGCAACTCCTCAAAGGGGGTTATAATATCGGGGATTATATAGGGCTCCTAGTATAGGGCTATTAAGGGTGATATAGGGAGTTTAGACTGTATGGTTTTGGGTCCCCATGAAACTTTGCGTGACAATGAGTACAGTGATCTGTCCAGTAAGGACGGCCGAGAGCCAAAGCCTCCACATCCTTTCAGCTCCCCATCAAAACTTTGGAACAGCAAGGACAAGCCCAGAAGTAATGGGAGGATCCAAACCCCCAAAATTTAGGACCTCATGACTATCATATGACTATAACAAGGTCCTAATTTTAGGGGTTGGGGAAACCGAAAGCCCTTTATTAAGACGAAGTTATGCTCAGTCCTGGTATTGAAACTAAGAGCACCAGCATGCACCAGCACTAAAGCATTCCTTGAAAGACAACAACAACTTTCCAGGGTTTGCCTCTAATTCTGGGCAAATTCTACTGGTTCATCATCCTGAGCTAAGGGGTCCTTTTAGGTCTCATTCCCAAGGGGGTGGTGAGCCCGTTTTTTTTTGGAGGCTCCTTTTTATTAATATTACAAGTCATATAAACTTAATACTCATATTCATGGTAATAATATTTCTCACATGAACACATGAATAATAATGTGAATATTACTATATTCATACCACTTTTTCTTTTAAAAAAAGAAAAGGCACCAGGCGTCTGTGTGACAAAGACGTAGATGGCATCGGCCTGGCAACTCTGAGTTGCTAGCGACTCCAGGGCCATCTTCAGGTTCCCAAGTCCTGGGCTTTATTTAAAACAAAAGCCTTAGGTGTCCAGTGTCTTACTGTTTAGGGCTTTAGGGGTTTGGGGTTTCAGGGGTTTAGGGATTTAGGGGTTTAGGGAGACCCTGAGCCAGACCCTGAGAGGTTGGTTTAAGGTTTCAGGGTTTAGGGGTTCCTAGGGGTTCCTGGAGACTCCTAAGGGTTCCTAATGGAGACTTCTTAGGTGTCCAGTATCTTGGATTTTTTCAAGGTGAACCTTTTGGTTTCATATTGGGTTTTAAACAACCTAGAAAGGTTCAAGGCTACCCATTGGACTGGTAGGCACCGCTTTAAAGACCCTGAGAGGCGTGCTTGAAGCCAAAAAAAGGGGTCAACAAAAAAAAGGTCTTGTAAACTGGTGTACCACACCTGGTGAACTTGGCTGTTGCTATGTAATCCCTGAGAGGAGCCTTGGGATGGAAGAGATCCCTAAAAAATCCTGGGCGGTGGTGATGCCCAAAGCTTTGCGAAGATCTTCGAAACGCCAGATCCATGGAAGGGCTTCAACTCGGAAAAAAAAACGGACAGGGCATCGGAGATAAAGAAGTAAGAGGACGGGTATGCTTTTTTGAGCGTGAAGCTGTCTGTGGGCTTCAAGCCTTCAAGCTTGGGATCGAAGGCAGTTAGTTGAGCTGTAGTCTAGACTCCTTATATCCGCCCCAATAGCCCCATATGAGGAACCCTACATAATCCCTTTTGTAATCTCTTTTCTAGAAATTTAGACTAGGGCCCAGTTGATGTTTCAGGAAAAAGGGGGCTCTTTGGGAATGTCAGACCTTATGGCCGTTTATTTAAAGGGATGGGGCCGAAGTGCAGTCCTTTTCAGCCCAAGAGTCGTCCCTCGAAGGTCGACAGGGTGACAACCACGCGTGTAGGCTTCTTGCATGGCTTCTTGCTGGCCCTGGCTGCTTCCACGATTTCCCGCAGCGATGCACCTTCAAAGAGACTTTCCTGCTGCGGAACCTGGCTGCCAAACAAAAACCGCCCAAATTCTCAAAATTTTCCCAACTCCTTAGGACAATTCAGGACACAACAAATAGAACATATATGAGCTACAGTCTAAACTCCTTATGTCCCCCTACTATCCCTATAAAATCCCCTTCTATAAACCCCCCTTCAAGGAGTTTAGACTTTGGCTCATAGGCTGAATGAGCCAACATAGGGAGCATAGACAGAGGCGAAGCTGCCCTGGCCGCTGCCCAGGAATCGAGGTGCTACCACTGCTATCCTTAAGCCAGAATCTTCTTGGAAGATTACGACCTACCATTATTATTACTACTATTACTGTTACTATTGCTATTACTACTATTACTACTACTGTTGCTGTTGTTATTATTATCACTATTATTGTTATTATTGTTATTTTTATTGTTATTATTATTGTTGTTGTTATTATTGTTATTATTGTTGTTGTTATTATTGTTATTATTATCATTATCATTATCTTTATCTTTATTATGATTATTATTATTGTTGTTATTACTATTACTATTACTATTACCATTACTACCACTACCACTACTACTACTACTACTGCTACTACTACTACTACTACTACTACTACTACGTATCGGTTACGTTTGTGACGGTGTGGTTTTCTCCACTGCACCTGCTTAAAAATGGGGTTTCGCGCGATTTTTGAGCAATGTCCACTTTGCTGATTTTCACTTCTTTTCG